GACTTCAGTCAAATGGTAGCAATAAAAGTACACAAATTTTAACAATTAATTACCTCTTACAGAATTTTTTCTTTTGAACATTAATATTTTATTCTTGGAGGTATTATATATAACATGACAGTTTAGAAAATAAGTTTAAGGATCAACTGGACCTTGCCTAAATCTCGGCAGTTATTCAGCTCCCTTAAACCTCCCTTCCCACCTCAATAAAATGGGAAGAGCTGTATACCTACCTTATGGTCTGGTTAGGGGGATTAATGAAGAAAATTCATATAAACGGCTAAGTGACTAAAAGATAAATCTACAATCAATGTTAGCTGATGCCATCATCATCCTTGTCATTACCTTCACTGTTTTAATCACATACTGAATTCACTGGACTTTCAAATGGAGGGCAGCTTTTCATATTTTCTTTCTTACCAGCACAGGAAGATTTTTCTAATTTTAAAATGAGGATGTTAAGGGGTCATATGGAGCAACATCATTACCTGAGGTCCAACTGCCGGGATACAGGATGACCAGGTGTGTCACTAAGCACTGATTCTAGGAAAGGGAGTCTCTAAGTTGATCAAGTTTCTAAATGGAGTTGATAAAGCTAAGTTTTTAAAACAGCAAAAACAAGCAAATAATGTCTTTAAATTATTGCAATACCATGAAGTTATGTCTCCATGAAATATAGTAGATACAGCTTTTGAGAGGGCTTGAGTTTAAGCTTCAGAATGCTAAAAGTCAGTGACCATTCCTTGCTGGAAATGGCTACTTTGAGATGGTAGAACAGAATCAATTAGGAGAAAATAGGGGGCCTCCTCAATGCATTGCTGAAATCTAAAGAGCTCTTTGCATTGTAGAGATTATCTTTTTATCATTCCACAAAATTAAAGCTTAAAAGTTCTATCCAAAAACCTAGCTCTGAAGAAATCCTCAAGGGTCTCCCATCAATGTAACGACCAGGCAGTACACAGGATTTTAATCAAAGGCCAGTGGCTGTCTACATGACACAGAAGCACTCCCACATATAGAACCAGTTTGTGAGGTTCATTCCCTTCTCTGCAATTCTACAGCCTAGCTGCACAATTGCCTCTTTTGTTTGTATAATCTCAAGGAATGAGTCGGCATACAAGGCAAATAAGAAACCATGGGAAATTTTTGTCCAAACCTTGCTTCATGCCTGAAGTTCAAATGTGTTTGGTTAACCTTCTGTTTATTCCTTCTCTTTCCTTCAGGTGACCTTTTTGGTTTTAGCTTTTGCCATGGCATGCCATGGAACTCAGTGGCTCAATGGGACTCTGGCACCATGTGACAAAGAAACTCTTATGAGCTGTCTGTGAATTATTTCATTCATCAGGTGCACACATTGGCACTCCCTTTGAATGCCGCCAACCCTGCCACTGGAAATGGGAAAATGTCAACCCAACACATCGGTACTTCCTACCCTTCAGATACTGAAGTCAAACAACAGATGGCGAACTCCAATTTTTGCTTCCTGTCCAATTGTTTTCCTGTTGGATAGTCTAAACGGCAATTCAGATTGTTGACCCTGGAAAAGTCAGCTCATTGAATCAGTAACAGGATGCTTTTCCCATGTATACAGATAAATGGAAAATTACACCGTGCATTGCACTTGATCATGAAATTGCCTGACATGAAAGTAACACGGCTGCATCACATGCCTTGTGACCAGTTTACTAGCTTACACTTCTCTAGGAAGCAGAGTAATTAATCATCATTCTGTGATAGTGTGTACACACTGCTGCCAACAAATAGGGAAGTGCTTACAGAGGGCAATACGTCTAAGCACTATGAAACATTAGTCATACATCTGATTAAAGGGTATAGTGATCAAGTTGAAAACCTGCTGGATGGTTAAACTAAGAGCAAGCATGGCTAATTTTCTTTTAAGAATTAAGACAGTCTTTTAAGTGCACTGAGAAGCTATGATAGGAATAAGCAAGGGACCTGGTTGGAAATGAAGCGAGAAAGCAATGATACACATGAAGACAGGACTTGATTTTCACACCACCAACGTCAATCAGAGGAAAGTACCTGTGAATTTCCTTAAACAGCTTGCCGGAGGGTATTTTGTGGTAACTATATTACTATAGTCACTTTTTTTCATCAATTAGTATTGTTAAAGAGAAGCTTGGCTATAGAGTTCCTAACAGCAGCAAAAAATAAATTCCCTCCAATTAAGTAGTCTAATAAGCTATTTAGGATTTTACCACTTAACATTCTTTCCTTCCCATTTAATTTCGGCTTTCACTTGGATGTCATCTTGTTGAAAATCCATCACAGAAAACTATGTGAAAAAAAAAAGATAATGTTGTTAAGTGCCCCTGATGTTCAAAAACGAGCAGAAGCACAATATTTTTTCTAAATCACCCCAGGATTTTTTCTAATAATTCAGCTTCTTCCTACTAGAAATTAATATATGAAAATATATTGAGATGGTCAATATGCAAATTCAAGTATCACACTAGCTACTTGCCTTCAGTAAGTGCTATATGCATAAATTTGAAACAAAACAATATTTTAAGGTCCTTGATTATAATAATGCCTTGGTGTGCATATGTGCATGTATAATTACATCCATTTAATTTAATCATGAAAATATTATAGGATCATTTGATTTTCTCCTCTAAAAGTTCTCTTCTTCTTTTCAATTAACTGATTTCACTCTGCCCCTTTATAAGTCAGCTGATGGTAAGTAATGGGTTTTGAGCTAAACAGAATATGGTCACATTCCTCTGGAATTATGCACAGAAAAGAGTCATGTGGGAAGGTGGTGGCCTCTTGCCCTTCGCCTTCATCCTAGTCATGGAACAGTGTTAGGCTTTTCAGTAGAACCTGATCCTCAAAATACTCACGTTTCATAATCATTTCTTCCTACAAGTTTCCAGTGTCGCCAGTGCTAAGAATTTGCCTGAGGGCAGTCACCTGATTAGAATAGAAGAGACCTGGAAAGCAGCCCATGTGACCCCACATTCCACATGCTTGACTAGAGTGGAGATTTTGGGACTCTGCATAGTCACTGGAATCACATGGACTATAATGAGGGAAACATGGGGGTGGAGGACATTTAACATTCTCCATGCACAAGGAGAACAGATAACACCCCAGTAAGTGGAAAACAAAAATGGGCCATTTTGGATGGAACGGAGGAAGCATAACATGAAGGTTATTTCATACTATCTTTCCCCTACCAAGTATATCTTATTTTCCCTCTCACAGAAAATCTATGTTTCTTTTCCCCAACATGCTAACAGAGACCAGTGAAAAGAAATAGGCTGCTTTGTGTCCATCAATAGAATCTATATACCGTCTTTTCCCCCAGGGATTAATTCAGCTTTTGATTAAATCTTTCTGAGATTTAAATCATGATGTTACAAACCTCCAAGGAACTCCTCTATGAGTTGTGACCTTCTTTATTACTCTCTGTTGTTTGATAAAGTACAAAGATTGATTTACAATGGAGTGTAGTATGTTTGAAAACAAGAAATAGCAAAGAAAATTGCAAGATATAAGATTAATATAAATATTGCAAATGGAAAGTTTTAGTTAATATATTCTATAATTAATACTGAGTTACAACTGTGTAACTAGTAACACTACTGTAGAGCCAGTATAACAACATTATTAGGGCTGTAAATTATATCCAGTGATTAGCTAAATAACCCTACAAAGAAGAGAAAACCAGCAATGCTAAAAAGTAATTTCAACTCAATATCATATTGTTTATAGTTTAGACAGATTTGGTTTGGAGGACTTTTGAATTGAGACAATCTTCTCTTAACAAAAGCTGTACCAAATGTTAACTTGTGTTTGTCAGCCTAACCTTGGTTTTAATAATTATTTTGCCATTAGTATTAATAAGAGTGGAAGTGATTCAATGTTTTGAGGACAATATGAAATAAACCCTTAATCTCAATCAGGATAGTCCAGTACCAAACTAGCAGCTACTAATGCTGCTTCTGAAAACCCTTCATTTTCTCTCTGCCCTCAAAAGATTTGTTAGGGTAAAAAGTTAACCATTTAGGGATAAGTTCTAATGTCCTTGCTGGTTCCAACTAGAAGATTAAAAATGTCTTATGCAACTTAAGCATCAATAGAAAAGTTAGAAACTGAGACTTATCCATTGAAACTCAGGGGTGCTTCGTATCCGGTTTCAGATAAATGCAACATTTGGGTAATCTAAAGATAAGTTTTTATTTTCATTCTGAAAAAATAATTGATGAATTTTATGCTGGTATAAACAATCCATGGGTAGTGTTTCTTATGTCATTTAGCAGATTTTAATACACTTCTTATAGCTCTTACCACATTTCCAGTATTTACGAACACTTTTTTCTCTCTAGGAGATGGAAATGCTGGGATATATTTAGCCACCTTTGCCCACTGTTGTTTGTGTTGAGTCTTATGATGCAAATGGTTGGGAATGAGAACAATCATCTGAAATTGGGCAAGGGCATTCTCTGTCATTAGGACCACCGTCATCTACCAGGCACAATGGACATCCTGACAGCACAATGTGTCTTCAGCTATCAGCTCATCCCATATTTAACTAATCTGATGACTTCCATACGATGGGGAACTGCATCCTGTTACAAGTCTTCAAAAAATATTCAGTCCATCTACAACAAAATTGCTTTCTATGCTGAATATTCAGTGTGTTTTTCCCTAGGGGAAAGAGCTTTTACTTAAAAATACACACTTCTCAGGGTTAAGTACAAAAATAGAGCTAATCCATTTGATAAAATCCCATGTCACTTTTCACCTCTGAATGTTCGTTATAGAAATCACCACGTCTGCCTTTGCCGTTTAAAAAAAGACAAGATACAGAAGGTGCACATTACCTTAGAGTTGAAATGCATCCATGAATATGGAAAAGCAGGGAGAAAGGGAGAGAAAGCCAGAGAAGAAATAGAATAATAATAAGCGAGTAATGGGTACTGATCTGAGAAACATGCCAGGAGTTTGGTTACGATAAATAAGAAAAGCAGAAGTAGATTTGAAACATTCGTTTCCCTTTATTAGCTCAGTGAGGCTGATGTGTACTGCACATTTTTAAAAAAAAAATCACAGGAATTTTCATACAATGAATAAAACCACAACAATACATGTAGAATTGGCAGGTGGAAAAAAGGCCCGGCAAGGGCTCAACTAATCGCTCACTTTCCCTCTTCAGCATAGTTCAACCAACAGTATTACACTTTCACCTACAAATCTTAAAGTAGCTCCATCAAATCAGCAGTTCACATTATTGAAAATGTCTGTCACATAGGTACAAATTTAGAATCATCACATTATAGTACATGGCTATTCTAGGTCATCTATAGATCAGGTCTTAGACTACAGTGATTGAAGTTCTCATTACAGCCATCAAGAAAGGACACATAATCATTACCTACTGGAAGCTCACATCTAAAGGCATGAAAAGGTTTCCTTTTTTCAACTGACCCAAACATCATACCCCAATAGTGCAAAGTTCCCTCTCTGCTGCTTTGAATGTTGACAGCCCAAAACCGTTGTTCTCGGAGTCATTTAGCAAAAATTGATTTTGTTGCACTGGAAGAATTATTCTGCTACATCTCTTTAAAAAAAGAAAAAAACCCACATTACTAAAGCACCAGTTCGGTTACCAAAATTGTAGATGTGGTACTTACCACAGCATGAAGGCAATGGCCCGCGGTCATCTAAAAATCCTACAGATCTGTGCTGAAATTTGCCTCCAGTGATGATGGGGTACACGTGTTCATTTGAAATATTCTCTCCCAAAAAAATAAAAATAAAAACGAGAGGAGCACAGCTTACATTTTGATGGGCTACCCACAGTGTCTGCAGAAGATACAAAAGCTCCACTAATTTCAGATGCAATTTGAAGTCCATTGAGGAAAACTAACTTCATGGTAACAATATTTGTCAGGCCAGAGGGGGGATAAATTAATCCTCAATATGATATCTGTAGTGTTGTCTTTTGATAAGAAAAGAAACCAAGTATTCCACTCATGTCAACAACCCAGGGCAAAAAGGAGAATGTATTTAAAATTGGATCACAAAAATTTAAAGGCAAAATAGAGAACACATCTGGTCCTTGAACACATAATAGGATTTACTAAATATCGATTTCTTAAAAATAATTTATTGCTCTTAATAGTCTTTTTATTATTATTCTACAACAGAAGATACTCAAAATTCAGAAAGAAAGACTGTAAACTTTAGTTTGGCGTTCACACAGAGTTAAAATACCTGCATTTAACCTACAGAACAACAAGAATTAGGCGGATTAAAGATGTGTTACTGTTGTAACGCAGAACCTGTGAACAAGTTTTTATTTCATAGTATTTTTATTGCTTTCTATCTACTTAGAAATAAGAAGCCAAAAAATCAAGCAAGCATCCGACAGGACAAACAGTGGATTCACTCAGAACACAATATGCTGGTGATAAATGAATGCAGCTATCAAAATTAGCTGCATTGGCCTGGGGGTGAAATCCATCTTATAAGATCGTGTTGGGTGAGAAAAAGGAAAAGAACAATTAAGTAGTAGGTGTATCATGTCTTCCAGAAAAGTCATGTCAGCCAAACAGTAATCGAATCTCAATTTAGAAACTTGAATACACACTCCAAACGTTACTGAATTCCATTCCAGGGACTCCACACTCAGATGAAATCCTGATGCTCAAATGGAGGTTTTTCTGAAGTTTTTATTGAATTTAGCAGAAGCAATGTCATCAAGAACAACATCATGGTCACGTCAGAGGCCATGCTAGTGCAAGTAGAAACACTGCTTCTGCAAAAGCTGAATTTCCCAAATAAAGCACTTACACTCCAACCTGACAATTGTCATGCATCCTAGGTAGAAAATTTCCACTGGCTTTACTATTTTCATCATCTCATAATTTATAATAAATAGGCTATCTGCAACTGATAAATATGTCTCTTTAGTAAACAAAGGAATGAAATATCAGTATTTATACAGGATGCATAACTGTAAAAAATACAGATAAATACCATCATCATACTCTGCCAAGGGAAAGAAATACTGGCTTCAAAGATAGTCTTCAGACACACATTAATTATTGTAAAAATCATACTATAATTATTACCTCAGCATTTTGTATCAAATTAAAATCACAAAAATTAAAACAAAACAGCATTTTAAAAAGATTTTTGACTTCTAGTTTCAAAACTACTGTTGATAGAGAAAATAAAAACATTTCTTAATGGTTACCCATTGAGAGACTTTACATAAAATCATGATATCTTCTAGAAAAATTTTAGATGAGAAAATTTCATTCCCCTAACAAATCCAGTGTATAAAACTTCAAAGAAAAACAAGCGACAAGAAAATGTGGAAAAATATCGCAGAAGTGGTTAATACCTTTAGGGGACTGGGATATTTTTCGACAAGATGCTTAGCTCGAAGCTCACCTAAGGGATGGATGTGCGGAAAGCATCGTTTTGCTGTTGTTGTACTCAACAGACACACACACTGTCTTTTTGTTTTTACAATCAAATATATATAAGCAGTAAGTTCAGCTTCTAAATATGTTAGTGTACAATAATTGTTTCACCTCATAATTACATTTGAATAGTCTTGATTAAGAAAAATTTAGCAGTTTTGAAAAGAAGGCTGCATTTACAGTGCATAGCTGTAACAAAAAAAGAACATTGTTGTATAGTATATACATAAAATAAAAATACTCCATTTAACATTTGTAAATACTTAACTACATCAGAGAATGTAGCAATTACACTATCTGAACACATCTCAGAGAGTTCTACCTAACTCTCATTAGTAATGTAACCCGGTGTCCGCTCCTCAGAAAGAACCGCTGAACAAGCTGCACGCTTGACCATTGACAAGGCTTTTGAAATTTGCAGTGGAAGATCAACATTTTGGACATTTACATGGGTGTCAGGATAAAGGACGAACTACAGAAACTTCAAAATGTTAGGAAACTTTAGCATTCTGGTGCCCGCAGTATCCTCTCCCACCCAGATTCCATGGCAAAAGGAAAAAGAAAAAAAGAGAGAGAGAGAGAGAGACAGGATATTAGTTCTATGGGACCTGTGGTTTCTTCAGGATTGTCATATAATCATTACGTTATGAGAGGAAGCTTGCTTCAAGTTGATTCTGCACTTTCTTTAAAAAAACAGAGTACAAAGGCTGATGCCCAGACATCAGCGGCTGTCATTTTAGGGCGGTTTGTGGTTGGTCTGGTTGGTTGGTTGGTTGATTAGTTTTCTTTCCTTTTTAATTTATATATATTTATACATTTTTTTCCTTTAGAATAGAATATGAACATTTTGAAGTTCTAGGTTTTAAGTGTGTCTTCATGGAACTGCTGCCATTTGAAATGGTTTGCCCTTGCACATTCTGGTCAGGTGCCCCCAGTCCTCACATGTACCCACACACACTTCCCCTAAACCAAGTGCACACACCACACACATACATACACACACACACGTACATGTGCACACACACACTCCATTACCAAGAGACTCCAGGAAAAGCAAAGCTGACACCCATGAATAAACATGTGCTTACTGGATATCATTCTGTCTCTTGCCTCTTCAGCAGCTGTGTTCATGTAAACCGTTGTCGTTGTTGTTGTTGTTGTTGTTCTTGTTCTTGTTGTATTGTTGTTGTTTTGTTTTGTTTTTGTACAGAGAGTGTAAAGTAGGAGAAATTCCTAAGTATGACTTGCAATAGTCTGTTAGGGAAGGACGCGCTGTCCCATGAGGTATTCACCATCCCTGTGTCATCCTCAGCTAGGGAACATGTTACCTGCGCAAGCTTCTCTGAGCTTCCTTCAGTAAACTATCAAAATCCAGAGAGTCATACTTGCTCTTGGTGGAAGCAGGGTCAAAGTCATCTGAGTTTGAATCTGAAAGAAATGCAAGCCAGTTTAGACACACACTTTGCTGATGGCCTTTAACTCAATCATTCCAATTCAAGATGACCAGATTTGATAACAACTTATCCAATCAATATACTTTAAAAAACAATGTCCAGATTTTACTGGATATGAATGGGTATATAGGAAGAGGATGGGGAGTACTGAGCTTTCAAAAATACTCACCTGTTGACTCATTTTAGGCTTAAACACTCCTGGGAGTTTGGCAGAGCAAATGTTAATACATCTCTGGCAGATAACCACCCTCCCCTTCCCAACATCATGTCAGATGACTTGCCCATGGTTCCTCAATAACTTAGATGTAGACGTGAGAGTATAAGCTGGAACTAATTTTCCTATTCAATGGGATTCATTTAATTGAGCATAAAAGCCAGTTGAGCATCAGAGAAAGAGTCATGAGAACTTCCCCTAAACTTCAACCTGCTGTTTCTCTTTGAGGCAGGAGGGGTCATATGATGTGGTCCTCTGCTTCTGTACCTCTGGGCATCCCAGAAATATTGGTGCAAATTCTCCTCAGGCTGGAAGGTCAAGAGAAATGCTTCACATCCCAGTAAATTTGGAGAGAGGAAATAAAGTGCAGGTATAAAGCCACGCCCTTCTTGGACTCTTAGGCTAGTCCAAGTCAGCTTTTGGGCAAAGTTTCACATGCTACATCAAATAGACCTTAACAAAACAGATATGTTTTAGGAATATTGAATGCAAAGTAAAATTATGTTAAATATTCCTACTTTGTCTTCACTGAATTCTATGAAAGAGTCAGATATTTCACTGCTCTTGGAAATAAGAAAGGGTGGCTTAGAACCATAATAAAAAGCCTCTTGTAAATATATTAATTCTTTTTGAAAACATTTATTTGAAGAAAAACAAAACCATTCTGGAAAACTAACAATTCTACCAAGTATAAGCACTCCCATGCTTTTCCCAGAGTAAGTTACAAAACAGAAATGGTCAAAGTAATAGAAGGGTGTAATACTAGATACTACAGAGGCATAATCGTTGATCTAAAAAGTTGTTTTGCTGACAAGATTGCAATGCCCCAGGCTCCCTAGCCTGACCATCCCCTTTCCCAAGCTTCAATCTACCTTTGCATACTTAGATTTAAAGACAAGAAAATGTCTTTACTTATGTTTTCCTTTCATTCTCATCATCTTTTGTCTTTACTGACTTTTTTCCAGGAAGTTTTTTAAGGTAAGAGCAACAAGAACAATTACAATCTTAATCATAAAAAAAAAAGACAAAACTGGCCAATCTTTCCTTAATAACATCTTAAATAGTCATTTCTTAAATTACACTGCCTTCAACGCTTCTCTTCATAGGCTAATGAATGGTTTTCTTGTATTGCTAAGGCCTCACAAACAACTGCTGTTCAAATCAAAATCTTTTTTGTAGAGATGAAAAAAAATGTCCAGCTCATTGCTAGAGATTAGTCTGAAATCAGAATTCCACTCACATTGTAGATCAAGAGGAAAGATTCCTCTAATGATGGAGTCTGTGATAAAAGTCAGCCTGGAACCATCAAGAAAATATATACATATTTTTCCTTGAGGAACACTTTGAGAATATTTTAAATTTCCTAACTCTGCAATATTCAGTGTTTCTGTATTTTGATTAGCAAATATTTAAAAAATTGTGAAATAGTAGTTCTCAACAGTTTCTTCACTGTGAACTATAGTATTCACATATGTACCCATTTATATAGGCACATTGTTACTCAGAAAACAACCAAAAAATATTTGGTTGCACGAGATGGAATGTGGTTACATTTAATTTCTGAGGCAATAACATCTATTCTGCCACTTTCTCTTCTGCTAATGAAAGGATATTGGAATACGGTAAGGTAGAATAAAAATGTTATAGGAATAACTCAAAAAGCCACTCTAATTTTTCAAAATAAATTGTTATGAATAATAATACTGTATTAGTTGAAACAAATAACATCACACTTATAGTCCCAGCACCTGGAAAACTGTTGGCACAAAAGAGGTACTCAAATTAATATTTGTTAAAGGAATATACTAATCTTAAGCACCAAAATATTATTAAAAACATGGTTGAAAATATTTATATTGGGATGTGGGAATGATTTATCAATGAATGGAAAAGGAATACATAAAGTTATATATATAATCAAGAATATTTTATAATACAATAAATTCATTTGAGTTAATAAATAATTTATAATGTATGTGTCATTTCTTTTTTTATATGTGTAAGTTACATAACATCATTAATTTCTAATCAAAACTATTACATTCATAATACTGACCCATTATTCTGTTTGGATACTGTAGTCCTACTTTAATTTCTCTTCGTTTTTCCCCTCTGACATTTTTTTTCATAGAGGTCTTTAGAAAGGTCCATTTGCTTATAAGACAGTAAATAGAAAGACACACAGACTACAGATCAAAGAACTTAAATCTTGGCTTCAGTGTTTTAACCTTGATTAGGTCATTTTAATCTCTCACTCTCATTTATAAAACTGGGTCATAAATAGTAGCTGAAATTGCTATGTTTTGCTCTAACAATATTGTAGTCACCATTATCTAGTTTCAATAGTAAAGAAATAGAATGCATATAAGCTGACTTAATTTGGGAAAGCAAGTAAACAGGAAAAAAATTGGTTAAATCTAACTAAAATGATAGGTTACTTTCCTGCCTTGGCAAAATTAATCTGTGTCACATCATTTTTACTTTACTGTTGTGACATACGTGCAAGCTCCCAATCAGGACAGCTCCCATGCCCTGAAGCATGCATGAACACTAAATATGGTGAGCATAAGAATATTTAAATTCTTTAGGGAACAAAGACAAGACACATGAGAACTTTTCTGAGTTTCAAAGCTGATTCCTAGAGTTGATTTTTCCATTTTAAAACGACTTTACACTTCTAACTTCTCATCCCCATCATTTTAAATTATAATCCTAGCCACTATTTATTAAGCACCTATGTTATGCCAGACACCATGCTAACAGCATCACAACCATTTATTTAATCTTCAAAATAACAGTATATAGTATTTCACAAATAAAGAAGCAGAACTGAAGGGGTTGAATTGTTTGCCCAATGGCAGTGTTAAGCCAGATTTCAGTCTCAGGTCTGCAGGATTCCAAAGCCTGGCCTCTTTGGACTATATAGTGCTGGAGCCCAGAAAAAAGAAAACTACCTTTGTGCCACTGTAGAGCTTGAGGGAATTGGAAAAATCCATGCTACTACAATGCACATCAAACATACTTTTCAGAAAACACAGAGCGAGCTTAGCAATGGCAAAGTTTCTATTGCTGCTGGCTAGGCAGGGAGATAACGAGAGAGGAAGCATTCTTCTTAGAAATATTTCATGGAGACTCCAGTCAATTTGGAAATACCATCCAATCCTCCCTCTACCAGTGATGAATCGTGATCTAAAGGCCCCTCTAGGTAGGTTATTTTAAACTCTAGATGTTTTGAGAGACTAGAAACATTCTGGCCTTCATCACCGAAGAAAATAAGTCAAATCAGCTCAAGACTTCAATCTGTCTTGACTGTTTTTATCAGCTAACATTTGAACAAATGACTTGCTACGTTCTATATTTTCATCCCTAGTCCTCTATCTTTCTAACAGTCAGCTGCCTCTCCCCTACTTCCCACTATCTATCTAGCTTGTGGAATGAATTATAGCATATTCCCTCTGAACAATGCACATCACCTGTATCAATTACTCTAGGAAGACATTCTTTGTTGGACAGAAGAAAAAAATCCCTGTATTTGGTATTCAATATTTATTTCTTTATACCAACCCAGAGAAGTGCAAATAGACATCTAATAATGCTGAGGACTAGATTTATATATTAATTTATGATTAATATTACAAATGAATTTAAAATAATTATGTCATATGTACAAGGCATTTGCCACTTTCCTTCCTCAAAGAATTTAAAGGATTACAATGCACACATGAGATAGGGAATGACATGCAAAGGAACAAAATTAAAATTGGAAATGAAATTAAGATGTCCATTATCACATTATTTATACTATTGAAAAATTAAAAATTAGATAAATGTTAATCTATAATGTAATGACTAAATATAATGGTTCTATTCTCTCAGCAAAATATGGTGCAACCATTAAAGCATGTTAATAAATTATTTTTAATCTTGTAAATCACAGCAGGACATGAATTTATATATAAATTGAGAAAAGCAGAATTTGAAAGTTCATATATATAAATACATATATTTATATATAACTTCAATGGTAAGAAATTAGACATTCTGGAACAAAATACTGGAAGACAAATCACTTCGTTGGTAATAGTGGTCATTCGTAGGTGACAGGTAGATATGTGATTTTATTTTATTTTTTAATTTTCCACATTTTACCCTTTGAGTCTATGCATCTTTCATAACAGGAAAAATAAATACTTTGTATGCTTCAGTTTCCTAGTCTGTAAAATGGGGATGATAATAATAATATACAGCTCCTAGGAGAGGTCTAGCAATTAAATGGAAAATGCTTACAACGCTCCTGGCACAGTGTCTGGCATATGGAAGCACTCAAAATAACAGGTGTTTTTTTTTCTTTTGTTTTAAAGAAAACATAGTGTGATTTAGTATATGAAATTTAATTTTCTTCTGTCTAGCTGTAGTACATAGAAAATGATATTTCTAAGTAGTCCGTGAAATAATAAGAAAAAAATATGGGACTTTTGTATATTCTGTTCCATAAAACAATGATGGCAATGCTATGGTTTGTGAAAGGATTCAGGGTAAGCCTAGAAAGCAAAAACAGGTTACAAACACACACACACAAACACAAACACAAATCATAAACACATGTAGACACAATGCCCACACACATACACACATGATATCTGCACACATCTGCACAACATATGCACACACAAAGCACAATACCACACACATACATGTTTAATATTCATACAAAACACACACAGACATACAGTATCCACACAGATACACACAATGCATGCATTCAAAAAATATAATGCTGCACGCACACACAACACACAGAAATCATGAACACACATAGAAATACACAATATTCACATATGTACCTACTACAATTTTCAGCACCTGAGTAGATGGTACAAAGAATTTACACCTGTGCTTTCTTACCAAAACCTAGGCCCCTTTCTCCTGAAACTGTCTCATATATTTTTCTTAAAAATCAGTATTCAAACATTCCCTTTAGTAAAATAAAGTGATGGCTCAACCCAAGGTGCCTACGGATTATGTTTGCTCCCATCTTGAGCTCTACATTATGGATTCCTCATTGTATGTACAATAAAATCCATACCTAGGTCTGCATAGTTAGACTTGAAAAATTGCTTGCGTCCACAAAAGTACAGCTCGAAGTCAGTTTCGTTCGACCTGCGCAAAGTGTATCCATTTTCAAGAGCAGCAAAAGCATCACAGGTATAACGGTAGGTAATGAAACCATAGCTGTCTCTGCAATGGACAAAGAAGAGTTCAAAGCTGGTTAAGAAGTGTTAGCACATGGGACTGTAACCCTTTCCACTTTGTGAGACTTCTCCGGTGCCAACGTCTGAGCCACTGCATCCATTTATCAGTGTGATTGTCCTGTCAAGCAGCTAAATACTTATTTCTGGGACAGGAAATCTCAACTAGAAAGATTAATAAATAGGGATGAAAGAAAATAAATAAGGTTCTGAACTCAACATGTCATCTGTCAAAGCACTTACATTGGCAACTCCCATCCCAGTAATCTTATGGCCATAATTTTTTACATACGTCAGCTTCTAAACAAGAAATAATCTTGAAGATTCTCACCCATCATCCCGTAGATTTACTGTGCACTCCTCAATTTCACCAAAAACTTCAAAACGGTCCCTCAGTTCTGTCCGTGTTGTGTCAGGTCTGATTTTACCGACATAAATCACACGGCGTTCTTCCTATGGGGGGAAAGGAAACGGTTTTGCTAGTTCTGAAGATGAGAAAGAACCTAGCCCTCTAGAAGGATTCATAAGTGTACAATCATGCATAATAAACCCCACTGAGTATGGCAATTAGAGCAAAACATACACTACAACTGAAGGAACGGCTACATTTGAACCGTGTTAATTCCCATTTCAATATCAACCTCTTCTCGCTCATATGCATTCTTCTCTTCACCTCTACTCTTTTCGACCTTTCCTATCTGTCTCTGTTCTACTCTCAGATAAACTGGACATATTAGAAAAGAAATCTGTATAAGGCACTTTTTAAAAATTATGGAACAATACCTATTAAATATTTGGACATTTGTGACTTGATTATTAATCAAAATTGTTATGAAACTGACCTTGTTTACCAAACTATTACATTTCTCATTAACTCAAATTTATAATAATGAAATGAATAAATTCTGACATCCTCAAAAAGAGTGGCTCTAAAACTCTACTATAAATAAAAATTACTTGGGGTGCTGGTTAAAGATGTAAATTGTTGGGTTTTATCTCAGCTGTACTAAAAAAAACGTAAGATAAAGTTCTACAACCTTCATTTTTAACAAGCACATCCCAGCGATTTTGATGGAGGTGGTCCAAAGACCATAATTTAAGAAACACAGTCTTAAATGTAGGCCATTTTAAGCCATGAGTCTCCAAAGAATAAGAGCTAAATAAAAGAGGCTATAAATTTCACTTTGCCAATAAATCTAGTCTTATTTTAGGAACAGACTAGAGGGGTGTGGCCTAATTTTCACAAGTGGAGTCAATATCATCATAATCTGAAAGTCATCAGCAATTTATAACCTACAAAATATAGGAATAATATTTTACAGCCTGAGGATAAATTCTTTTTTTAAAGAACAGCATTGCATTCTTAGTGTAAGAGGCAATCCTTTAACTCTCGTTCCATGAAGACAAGGCCAAAGTTATGGTGTCTCTCAAAGTTTTAAGAACATAAAGAGTTAATACAAAGAACGTGCTCACCAACTAGTTTGTATATATACTAAGGACAAACAAGGATAAAACGATTTTAAGGTTTCAGAGATTTAAGTTAGGTTGAAGCAAAGACTAGAAACAGAGGACTGAGGTACAGACTTAGCTTGCCCAAGAGTTTTCTTTGGATGTACTGAGAGTCCCTGGTCTTGGATGATGAAAAGAGTAATTCAAGCTGAAAACAAAAAGATGCTCTATCTTATTTACTGAATGGTTTTCCTTTTCATATGTCTGGTATTTAGCAAAGAATCTGGAAAGGAGTAGGCATCCAACAAGCATTTGTGAAATGTAACTAAACCATTCACAGACCCTATATCTTCCTAGATGATAAGATTACTAATGTGTGGGCTTATTCTACCATATGTAACATTCCTGCCTCTATATTTTATTAGGAAAGTAAGTTCATCTGAGCCTTAGGTGCAAATAATCAACTATCTACTTGACATCTCAGGTTGGTTGTGCCTGAGGAAACTCAAACTACACCCACCTTACCAAAGCCCAACCCTCCAGCCTTTCCCTCTCCCCATTTGGTTCTTTCCCAATGTTCTTGTATCAGTGAAATGAACACCATCTAGCCAGTTATTTAGGACAGAAACTTAAGTACCTCCCTTTACTCCTTTCTCTTGGCTGTCTTCACATATCTAATCATTTATCAAGTCCTATTGATTTGTATCTCCTAAATCTCTCTCTAGTCTATTTGCTTTATTCCATTTGTCCTATACCAAACCTCCAGCTTCTCTTTCTGGACTAGTATAACAAACAATCTCTTAACTTGAACCTGTGGATATGTTTATTCTCCTCCAATCTATTCTTCCATTGTTGTTAGAATAGTCTTTGCTAAGAAAACAGGAATCCAATGATGTCCATTAACTTCTTTTTTTTTTTTTTTTTTTGAGACAGAGTTTCACTCTTGTTACCCAGGCTGGAGTGCAATGGCGCGATCTCAGCTCATCGCAACCTCTGCCTCCTGGGTTCAGGCAATTCTCCTGCCTCAGCCTCCTGAGTAGCTGGGACTACAGGCATGCACCACCATGCCCAGCTAATTTTTTGTGTTTTTAGTAGAGACAAGGTTTCACCATGTTGACCAGGATGGTCTCGATCTCTTGACCTCGTGATCCACCTGCCTCGGCCTCCCAAAGTGTTGGGATTACAGGCGTGAGCCACCGTGCCCAGCCGACTTCTAAAACATTCCAATGGCATCTCATAACTTTTAATGAAAGACCTAAATCATTAATAAGACCTACAAGGCCCTGTATGGTCTGGACCTATTGTAACCATGGGCTTTATCTCCCATATCACATTCTTTCTGTGACTTTCTATTCCAGCCATGTTGAGCTTCTACTAGTCTAGTATATACTGTATACCTTCCTTCCCAAGGTCTTTGCACATGCTGTTTTCCTGCTACTGGAACACCCTATTCACACTGCACCACTCCCAATGCTCTCACACACACACACTGTCTACAATAACCTTGAGCTCAGCAATCACCATTTTTTTCTGAGACTTGCAATGAGGTCAGAAATCCTACTAGCTGCTCTTATGAAAAACTCTCCTTTCCAATTGCAATTAATAGTTTACCCACTATTTAACATCCACCTCCCCAGGATAATAAAAGCTACATGACAGTAAAGGCCATATCTGTTCTATTCACTACTGTGTTTATTTTAAATAAAGCACTGAAACATAACAGACTATCAATAAATATGTTGAAAAATCAATTAATTACTAATCAATTATTCATCTTGAACATTTACCCCATTCCCTTCATTACATCAAAGATGCCTAAGTGTGGTCCTTATTCTCTGAGACTCTCTAGCACAAAGAAGAAGGAAAATTAGGTTTGGTATTTTATCACAGGGAAAAAACCTTGCTCATATAGCTCAGTTGAGTGAAGAAACAAAGATTTCCATAATTTTATTTTACAGATTTAAGTATAAGAAGTAGCTACATGTTTTCAACTACATGTTTGCAGGGATCTTGCTCATACAAATCACTTGTGAAAATCAAAGGTAGGGGATAACAAACAGTTGGTAAAACATAACTCTTCTGACAATAGCCATTGAGCCTAAATAACTGACCCAATGAAGTGGAGTAAACAGAGCAGGCTGCCTGATGCCCTTCCATGTAGATTGTATGTCTCAATTGAAGGCTGTGATTGTGCTGCTTCAGAGCACTGAGCACATCCTGGCAGTCAGGAAGTAGAAATGGATAGACAGGCACATCCCAGACCATCTTTGCACACTTGAGCAAGGGAATCATAACACCACATTCCATTCTATTTACGCAGCCAGCTCTAGTCAAACAGCCAAATGTGATGGGACTGTTATCTAAACTTAAACTTCCTGGCGCCAGCTTTCCTGGGTGTTAAGGAATTTTTTTTTTTTAAATGAGCCTTTTAGGAAAGTTACTACTATATAGAGAGAAAGGAGGGGGAAATGCAGAAGTGAGAGAAAGATATTGAGCCATTGCAAATAAATTGCTCAACTACCATTATAGGAATACACACAGCCTATGTATTCAAGGAAATTTGAAGTTAAAGTGAAAATCGACCATATGTATGCCCATATGCAGACATATTGGGACAGTCTCTGAATTGCAGCTTTATACAAAGTTGTATGCAACAATGATCCCATACAAAATATAAACCAGAGGACCTTTTATAATGGATACTGATACATTCTACAGTAAAAAGAAGATATAACCTAGAGGGGAGAAACAGGAAACCAAAGGGCTGCTCCACAATTGCTTGAATTACCTGTTTGTCTACCATCTCTTTTTATGAACCACAGGAATGGGACCATGCCTCCTACCTTACAAAGATCAGAGATTGAATACATGTTGAAATTCTTATTTGAGAAAATTACTGAAGTGCTTGATTTTCCTACTGCTAAAAATGAAAATAAAAGGCATCCTAACGCCTAGAAAGCAAAGACAAAAATCTTTCCAAGATTGGCCAAAATGTCAAGCAAAGAACTGATTCTTTTAAACATGTTGCAGTTGTACTAGGCAGATGAATAGATTTCATATCTTTAAAAAAACCTTAACATTTGCAGCCAATTTTTCAAGACATTAATTTCTAAACAGGAGATGAAAGGGAAAGAAATCAAAATGCTTAATAACATTTTCAACTTCTTAAAGGCTTGGAGGAACTCTAAACCTTTGGAAACAGCTCCTTGAAAAATGATTTTCAGGCCAGTTTTCACTATTGAGTAGGGTGGAACATTTATCAAATAACTTTTAGCTTCAGTTTTCACAAAACCTAGTATGCTGATGGGGTGGATAATAAAATTGAAGACTTATGTTGCATTAACAGCTACAGTGAATCCTCATTCTACTAAAATGCGGGGGATACATAAAGAAACAAAAAACTAACTGAATTAACTGACTTCACATTACTAAAACCTTTATCAAAAAGAGTCTAGAGCTTCCCACTTAGCTGGGGGAAAATATACAATGGTTGTTTCTCATCAAATAAACTACTCCTGATAAAAGGGGTTTGACTAAGAAAAGGCAGAAGGTAATAGAGAGATAAACATTTGTCGAATTCTTACCTCTACATTTGATGCTTTTTAATGGGTTATCTCTCTAAAATGTCCTGTTATGCTAGGTAACAAGGAAGAGCCTGATATGTAGATTTCAGTTCTCTCCACGTTTCCGAGTCAGAATAATGTAAAAATCTTTCCTTCTATGCTAAGGAAACTATATATCAACTTTGGAAATGAAAGACTGGAGTTCATTCCTAGATTAGCTGTAACCTGACTGCCTCAAAAATTGCAAAGATATTATAAATACCATGGATGGATTCTAAAAAATGCTAAATAGTGTTTTTTTTCTTGTCCTTAATATTGATTATGTAATCTAATTCAGAGGGTATTGAATAAATGCCTACTACTAGGGGGTGTTCTTAGAGAAAAAAGCAAAATTGTAGCATTAAATTTTCCAAAGTGTCCCCCATTCAAGTACTGTGTGCA